GAGGATGAAGCCAACGCAGCCACCGAGCCCCTGCCTCGGTGCGCGGTGTTTCCAGCGCTGCTCGGTTCAGTTTGCGCAGGCCTCCCTTAAAAACCGGGCTCAACAGATGGGCCAGACGGTCGGAGGCGACGTGAGTCACTGAACGCCGTGGGGAGGAATCCATCCTCCACAGCGTGAGCAGCGAGCGCGTCCGTGGGGAGCAGGGACGGCTGCCACTGCGGGTGGCGACTGCGGAGAAGGAGCCGTGCGTGAGTCCTTAAAAGCTGGGCCCAACCTTCTTCTGTTGACCTACAGTGTTTTTTTTTTATTCTCAGCTGGGTTTAAACTACTGATCCGGATACTGATCCCCATAAATTGTGTTATTTTAAAATCCTGGAGAAGGATTATTGAATGGTCTCTCTTTTAACCTGTTTCTCTCATTCATGGTTTTCTGGGAGTTGGTGCTGACCTGATCCATGCTCTGTGGTATAGCACTAACTTCAGCTGTGGTGCGTCCCTTTCTGTTAACACAGCAGCACAAAAAGGATACATTTATTATTTATTTTATTATTTATTTTATTTTTATCCCCAGACATTTGTTTATTGACTACTATTATGTCATGGTTTAACTTGTGACACTCTTCTTAATTATTTGTATTATATTGCATCTAGATCCACTATTCAAATGGGTTAGTACAGGCAGACTTTAAGAAAATAGAAAATACAGGTTTTAATTTTAACCTTAACCAATTTTAAAAATAAATTTTAAAATTTAAAGTGGCATTTAAATTTTAGGAAGGCATTTGAAAGCATAGCATTCTTGCAGGATGTTAGAAATTTTTGCTAGGGTTGCATTTGTTTGATGTGGTTTTCATCTCTCTCTCTTCTTTCCAAGAGTAGAAACAGGACGTATAAAATGGCAGCAGTATTAACCAGAAACATGAAACATGAAACATGAATATGTGTTATGATTATGTGGAGTTTGTGAATTTTTGCTATCTACAGGCTCATGTGGCACAAGATCATGAGACAGTTGAGTCATGATTGATTGTCATGATGGCTTTTTCTTTCATAGGAAAAATACAGTATGTAGTTCTTTATTTCTGATTTTTTTTTCTCGTGCAAAGGGGCAGAACAGAGTATCACCACACGCTCTGCCGTGCCGCTTTACTGTTAGCCTCTGTCAGAGGGGAGATTCTGCTCAACATGGATCCGGAGTCTGTTCCAGGGTGGTTGTTTTTATGTTGTTTGCCCTCACTAAACTGTAACCCATCACAGAATATCTTGCAAGCTGCTGACAGCAGTAGATCACTCAGCTCTGTGACATTCCTGTTGGTTCCCTTTGCTTTTAAGAAACCAAGCCCAGGGAAGGGCTTGAGGAATGGCAGGACGGCACGGAGCCAACGGGCCTTTCTTGCAGTAAAGTTTATGAAGATATAAAAGATAAATACTATTGATTATGAATCCAGAGCTTTGGGAGACAAATATAGTCATGTCCCAGGACTGGGAAGGAACTAAGTAACGGCAGCGGCAGGAGGGAGGTGGGCTGCTGCGTGGATTCCTGCTTCCACACACAGGTGGACTTGTCTGGAGAAGCACAGAAGCATCTCCGCGTGCCTGAGCTGCCTCAAAGTCCTGCTTTATTTTCCTGTTTAACTGCAATTTATTCCTATATGTTTTGCAAACTGACTGCCACCAGTTTCTTGTGCCTCTCCCTGCCCAAAAGCTGCTGCTTGGAAGCAGGTTTCTGGTTAAAACATGGGTAAATCCTGTTTTTTACCGAAGATGCTGAGCTTCAGTGGCACCCAGGGCCAAGGCGCAGTGTGCTGCAAATGGAGTTTTACTGCCTTCATCGAAAAATCTTTTCTGTTCCACTTACGCCCTGTGCTCCCTGCTGTTTGCCTCAATGTGCACTGTTCCTTCTCTTCCTCTACACAGTTGGTTCTTGAAATTACACTATCATGGTCCCTTACAGCAGCAGCTTTTCTCCTAAGGTCAGGCCCTCGTGTTAGTAAAACATACAAATGTTCTAGCGGTGCCGTAACCTGTCAGTGGTACCTGAGGCTGTGCGCGGTGTGGTAGGAAAAAGTTTGGTTACAGGTAACTTATTTGTATTGAATGGAAGCCAGGCCCCACACTAGATTCTTGTGGGGATACGAGCGCCGTCCAGCTCTGTTTTTGACAGCCAGGCCCTGCATTTCACAGGAAGGTTCTTAGCCCTGCCCGTCCCCAGCTGCTTCGCACGGGAGGAGGTTGTTCCCCGCCTCCAACCTGCTCTGAGACGGAGCAGCAGGGCTGGGTGCTCTGCTCTGTCTGCCGCTCCCTATGGCGAGCGGGAAGCTCTTCTTAGCCCTGATCCTTGGCACTTGCTGAATCTTCCCTTGCAGCAAAGTGAAACATCCCGTAAGGATGAATGTCTTAAAAACAGATTTGTAAGGAAAAAAATCTACTTATCCTCGTGTTTGTTGCATCTTTTGGCTTTCCTGACGCTTTTGTCTGTTTGCGTCAGGGGCTGACTGTTATGCTGCGACTTCTGGCAGCCATTGCTGGGTCCGGGGAGGTGGGTGAAGTCCCTGGTTGACCCTGGGGAATATCCATCCTCTGCCCTCCCGCCCGGTGGCCTTCCCAGCTTTCAGAAGAAGGGCCTGAGCTGGGGCTGCAGTGCGGCTGCCTGCACTGCCTGCAACGTGCCCATGTGCCGGGCAGCCCCGGAGCAGAGCGAGCGCCCGGGGGCAGCTCCCCCTGCCCACCCGAGCTCAGCCCCGGAGCAGAGCGAGCGCCCGGGGGCAGCTCCCCCTGCCCACCCGGGCTCCGGACCGGAGCAGGGACAGCAC